CCAAACATCCCCTAGCGAGTTTTGCTCCCACGATCTTCCTTAAAACATTGCACGATAAACTTTTTACACAGTCCCGCAATTCCTCTCAAACATCCCATAATAAATTTGCTCTTTCCCACGTGATAATTTTGCTTGCTTATCAGTTGTCAAGTTGCTGGCTGAATCTCTGCCAGGTTGTGCTCGAGTGGTTCCTGCAATGGTTCAATCTGTCAGTGTCTCGGGAGTCCCGGTCTTCGTTACAGCCCGTGTTATCTTCTGCTTTTTAGGCCTTATGTATCTGTGTGTTTAACTTATTATAACTCCATTTTGGGGGGTTTTGTCTTTTTGTGTTGAATAGCCATTAACTAAATCTCCTTATAGTTGAAAACTACTTTTTCCCCATGCTTCCTAGTGAATTAGGGCAAGGAGGAGCCTCTGAACACGACACGTCTCACTCCAGGCTCGTCTGGCGAGGTCTCTGCGTTGCCTGGCATACAGGACCCGAGGGAAGTTCTCTGGGGTCTTTCAGAAAAATTAAATAAATGCTAGGTGCTGTTAAGAAACTAATTACTAGATAGCAAAATGGAGGAAATTACTCCCTCCCTGTATAAAATTACCTCCCTGTATACACGCGCTTCAACGCTGCGTTTCTAGTGCCCTCCATCTGAATAAGGATTGTAAAACTGGGAAACGTTCAGGGAGGACAAACGTATCCTGAGTTACGGAACGGTTTCTGCAAGGGCAACAGCTGGAATCTAGGACTTTTTAAGCTCAGAAAAGAGACCGTGGGGAAAGAAGTGATATAAGGGTGTGTAAAATTGTTAGTGGCACGGAGAAGATGAACGGGGAACAACCGCTTGCTCTTTTCCTATAAACAACCCAAAAACCCTCGGACCCATCGAAGGCACCAAAGGTGTAGGTAGCTGTGAAATCCCTTTCTGCAGGGTACGGTGGATGCTAGAAGCTTACGCGGGTTGACCCAGCTGTAGGCACAAGGGAAAAATGGGTTTTGTAAGGGCTGGTAAATGCAACTGGCTCAGAAGACCCATGAGCTGGCAACTGGTAGAGGCTGGGGGAGGGGCG